GCGCTTCTCTTACCCCTCCTCTCCCTCTCTTTTTTTCACTGTAGAAAGCGGGAGCCGGAGGAAGAAGAGGTTTGTGTCCAGCCCGCGCTACGTGGAGACCCTGCTGGTGGCAGACCAGTCCATGGCCGAGTTCCACGGCAGCGGGCTCAAGCACTACCTGCTGACGCTGCTCTCGGTGGCGGCCAAGCTCTACAAGCACCCCAGCATCCGCAACTCTGTCAGCCTCGTCGTTGTGAAGATCATGGTCATTTACGAGGAGCGGAAGGGGCCCGACATCTCATCCAATGCCGCCCTCACGCTGAGGAACTTCTGCAGCTGGCAGAAGCAGCACAACCCGCCCAGCGACCGGCACGCTGAGCACTACGACACTGCCATCCTCTTCACCCGACAGGTAAGGGCAAAAGGCCCGAGCCCTCGCCTGTGCTCCTCACTCCCCCCGCAGGGCCCCTGTCTCCAATTCATCCTTTAAAATCCCCTCAGAATCAGCCTTGTGCCACTACAGGTTCCCCTAAGAAGGCTTTTTATTTATATATTTATTCTACTGTTTGTGCTACCTCAGGTGAAGCCCACAGTACGTGCAATGTGCTTCTGCCACATATTTTTAGCAGGTTTAGTCTGGAAATTATGCATTTTATTTCTACGTGTAACCCCTGTGTATGTTCCAAAGGCAGATTTTTGCCATCATACCCATTGAAGTGCTGAATATTTATGCTCTTTCCATAAGTAAAGGCAACTTGCCAGCATTGGATTTTTCTTGCCAAGGTTGAGTCTCTGATCTGATTAATAATGAAACTGCCTTTTTCTACAGGACCTCTGTGGTGCCAAGACATGTGATACTCTTGGGATGGCCGATGTGGGAACAGTTTGTGATCTAAACCGCAGTTGCTCTATCATCGAAGACGATGGTTTGCAGGCTGCCTTTACAACAGCCCACGAACTAGGTACTTGAAATGTGAACTGAGATTTATGTTGATTAATTGCAACCAACGTGATGCCATAAAGTTCAGAACATGCTGGCCCATGTTCGGGGCTCGCCTTGTGGGGCTTTGAGCACCCCGGGCTCCCCCAGGAGCATCCCCCACACACTCAGACTGATATTTGGAAAGCAAATCCAGTCTGCACAGCATTGTCTGCAGGAGCTGAATATTTCACTGTGGTTGTAGGGAAAAAAAAACATACGTATTAAATTAGTCTATGAGAAGTTAAAGATAGCTTGTAATCTATTTAAAATTTGGCAGTGTTCAGATCAGACGATTCTTTCAATACCTAAAAGGCTTAGCTCTAGAGTAACATTTAAAATGATATTGGTTATGCAGACGTCAGACATTGTAAAATCAAAATCACAAGCTCTTCTTTTTTTTTAAAGGCCACGTGTTTAACATGCCTCATGATGATGCAAAGCAGTGTGCTAGTATTAATGGAATAAGCCGGGATTTCCACATGATGGCATCCATGCTTTCCAATCTGGATCGAAGCCAGCCTTGGTCTCCATGTAGTGCCTACATGATTACAACATTTTTGGATAATGGTCATGGTAAGATTATTAAGCCTTCCATTCATGTGGTATTTAAACCCACATGTTTTACTGCTTTTTGCTTTTCTTTTTGCTTGCTTTTTCTTTTTGCTTTTCTTTTTTTCTTTTTTTTTTTCTTTCTAATGGAGCACATGCTGCTTTCTGTTAACCTTTTCCATGCTGCCAGTAATTTTATAAGACCCCTGTTTTTACATAATTGGTGTCACAAATTGTTTTGAAGAACTTGAAGAATTATTTTACAAAGCAAACCCAGTTCCAGAGATGGAAATGCATTTTTCGCTGTAGAAACTGAGCTCACTGACAACATTGTCTTCATTATTTTCCCCTTCCTTTTCAGGTGAGTGTTTGTTGGACAAGCCCCACAAGCCAATACAGCTTCCCTCTGACTTGCCTGGCACCTTGTATGATGCCAACAGACAGTGCCAGTTTACATTTGGAGATGAATCCAAACACTGCCCGGACGCAGCTAGTACGTGTACAACCTTGTGGTGTACTGGCACTTCTGGAGGGCTGCTCGTGTGCCAGACTAAACACTTCCCTTGGGCGGATGGCACCAGTTGTGGAGAGGGGAAATGGTGCATGAATGGCAAGTGTGTGAACAAGACTGAGAAGAAGCACTATGATGTAAGTACCAAGAAAATCAGGCTATTCCTTAGGTTGCAGAGTAGCATATATAATAATTCAATGTGAGCTATCAAAGCAGGCATAAGGACTTAAGTAAATTGAGATGGCTAGTAAATTAAACAAGCTCACAGCTTTTCTATAGAAGAGGCTTAGATAAAAACTGTGTGTCTTTTTGCATTTGTTGTATTGTGTTTCTTATTTCTTTTGCCGCATTAACTCTTTTTCTGCGCTCTCTTGTTGTTCCAGACCCCGGTGCACGGCAGCTGGGGCTTGTGGGGGCCCTGGGGCGAGTGCTCCCGCAGCTGCGGCGGCGGGGTGCAATACTCCTTCAGGGAGTGCGACAACCCCGTCCCCAGGAACGGAGGGAAGTACTGCGAAGGGAAGCGGGTGCAATACAGGTCGTGCAATATTGAGGACTGTCCGGATAATAACGGTGAGCTCTTCCCGTTTCTTGATGTGGAGGAAGGGGATCTTGTGGGGAAAGACCACGTAAAGAGGATGGTCTCATGTCTACCTGTCTTTCCCCTTGCAGGCAAAACCTTTAGAGAGGAGCAATGTGAAAAGCACAATGAGTTTTCCAAGTCTCCATTTGGAAGTGGACCTGCAGTGGAATGGACACCAAAGTTCGCCGGTGTCTCTCCAAAGGATAGGTGCAAGCTGGTCTGCCGAGCAAAGGGAACGGGATATTTCTTTGTTTTACAGCCAAAGGTATTTCAAAACTATATTTCTTCCATCTAGTCATGAAAAGGAAAATTATTTCCTCCAACTCTCTGCATAAAGTTAGAGTCAAAGGCAGTGGCTGAAATTATTTTTAGGATTTTGTATATCTAAGATAGATTGTTCCTTTTCCTCTTCCTACATGTACAGTCTGAAGAGTACAAGCATGCTCCAAATATTCTGGCATGGTTCTTCCAATTATTTCCCACATGGCTGCCTTTTCTACCCACTCCATCCTTTTCCTTTTTCCTTTTTCCTTTTTCCTTTTTCCTTTTTCCTTTTTCCTTTTTCCTTTTTCCTTTTTCCTTTTTCCTTTTTCCTTTTCCTTCCACCAAGTTGATTGCACCGAGATGTATTTGGAAACTGTGCAGGTTCTTTGCCAAAACAGCGGCGATTTCTCATCCTAGTTACTAATACGCTGACAGCCTAAAATAAACAAAACGAAAAATGTTCATCTTGCATAGCTACTTGAATTCGCTGTCATAAGATGTTGAGAGCCAACAACTACCAGGGTGACAGCACAGATGTTTTTTGTAGAGAAGTATTCCTAGAAAGAAAGGAAGGATTGGGACCCTTGAAAGCAGTTTGGGTGCTTGAACCTTGAGGCCAAGACTATGTTCCAGTGTCATTATTAAAAAATGTTCTTACTTTATACTAAGTAAGTACAACTGTTCCTATAAAAGTGAAATGGGTTGGTTTCTCCAGCTGCTGTTGGGCATTGTTACGTTGAGATAATCTCAGTGCTGCACACCTCCAACTATCTACAAGCTACTCCTGCTTTTAGTTTCAAAGGCCTTGAAAATAGAGGTGCAGCAGGTCTTCCTCTGTCCATGTTTGACATTCTAATGTGTCTGTATCATGCAGTTTCAAAGAAATGTCCATCTTCTAATCAAGCATCCCTCTGCTCTTTCTCTAAAGGTTGTGGACGGTACCCCGTGCAGCCCCGACTCCACCTCGGTGTGCGTGCAGGGGCAGTGCATGAAGGCTGGTTGTGACCGGATGATGGGATCCAATAAGAAGTTTGACAAATGCGGTATCTGCGGTGGCAACGGATCCACTTGCAAGAAAGTCACTGGCACGCTTGTGAGAGCAAAGTGAGTGTATGATGGCAGCCGCTGTTGTGTTCTAGCTAGCATCACGTAGGGGCAACCTTCGGTTTCCAAGACAGGCAGCAAGAGGCTGTTCTTGGAGCTGAAATTTGATCAGTCAAAACCAGTTGGTTGGTTGGGATCCCAATCGATGGAAGTCCCTGACACACGGTCACACATCTGCAGTGGCAACGCTGCAGGATGTGAATTGGCGAGGCCCTTCATTCCTTAGTTCCATCAAGTCCATAACTTAGGGGCTTAGTGTGTCAGCTTCAAATGAAATTCAGCCTTGTGCTGAACAACTGTTTGCTCTACCAAGAATGAGCTGAGCGCTCAGTGCACATGTTTTCTCTCCAGCAGGCCTGGTTATCATGACGTGGTCACCATCCCAGCTGGAGCGACTAACATTGAGGTCAAGCAGCGGAACCACAGGGGCGCCCGGCACGATGGCAGCTTCCTCGCTATCAAAGCTGCCGATGGCACGTACATCCTCAACGGTGACTACACGCTGTCGACGCTGGAGCAGGACATCACGTACAAGGGCAGTGTATTGCGGTACAGCGGCTCCTCCGCCGCCCTGGAGCGCATCCGCAGCTTCAGCCCCCTGAAGGAGCCCCTGACCATCCAGGTGCTCACGGTGGGGGACCTTCCACAGCCTAAGATCAAGTTCACCTATTTTGTGAAGAAGCCCGTGCAGCCCGGCTCCGAGAAGGCGCCTGGCAAAAAGAAGGAGTCTTTCAATGCCATCCGGGAGATCATCTTGTCCGAGTGGGTCATTGAGGAGTGGGGCGAGTGCTCCAAGTCATGCGGCTCCGGCTGGCAGCGGCGCTCGGTCGAGTGCCGGGACCTGCGGGGGCAGCCGGCCGCCGACTGCGCCCATGAGCTGAAGCCCAGCGACGTGCGACCCTGCGCGGACATGCCGTGCCCGCAGTGGCAGCTCGGGGACTGGTCGCCCTGCTCCAAGACGTGTGGGAAAGGTTTCAAGAAGAGGTTGTTAAAGTGCATTTCTTATGACGGCAGCGTGCTGCCGCAAGAAAGCTGTGAGCCTTCCAAGAAACCAAAGCACCTAATAGACTTCTGCAATGTTACGGACTGCAGTTAAAACAGTATAAGTTGGGAAAGCTAAAGGGTTTTTTTTTTGTTGTTGTTTTTGTTTTGTGGCTTCATAACAATGCACTGAAAATAAGAGGATAGAGGTAGCACAGGTGATTTGTGTTCACATTCACAGGAGGGTTCATTGAGGTGGGACAGTGCAAATAATTTTAGTTGGTGTTGCATCGTAAGAATATCCTGCCGACTGCAAATTTGATAGGATAGCAGACCAGTGTCACTAACCCGTCTTCAGCAGATAAACCAGGGCATTATAATTCCCTTTTTTAAGTATGCTACAATTTAAACAAAACATAAGCAGTGGCCAAAACATATCTCAGCAAACATTTCGGGGTTGAGTTATGTTTCCCTTCTTTTAGATTTGTATTGTGGTACTGTTGAAGTCCCCAGGCTTTTTAAGGGGAGGGACAGGGGAGCAGAAAAGATAGCTTAAAATAATTGGTCAGAGCTTACCTACCTCATGAAGGGCAAAAAACAGGATTAGAAAAGGAGCTTTAACTATGTCATTCATGGCTGCTATTGTTTCACAGGATAGTTTTATATAAAAACAAAGCCATATTCTCTAGCTGTAAAGAGCAAAAAAATAACCAAGAACAACAGTCAGTCACTTCCACGGACGATTGAATGTTATTTTTAAGTATCTTTATGTCATCCCAGTGTGCCTGTCCGTTTCGCTCGACCACTCTGATGCAGTTGTAGTGATATATGTAACCCAGAGGCTAGAAAGAGTGGAAATCTTCATGGAGCAAGTAGTGCCTATGAGGACCTCTGTGCCTTCTGTGTGGCTTCCACTGGTTTTTGGATTCAGAACATGGTTCTGCCATACATTACCCAACTTGTGGCATTGAGGGTTGGAGTCATGCTTTCACCCTCCCATCTTTCACCTCCTGCCAGCCTATGACTAAGAGTAGTTATTTGCATTTGAATAGGAAAGAGATCAAAGAAATGCCCACTATGGGGGGGAACCTCCCCCACGTGGCCTCTGATGGGTTTGCAGAGCTCAAAGCACTGGTAAGGCAGGAAGACAAAGCTGAAGGATAGCAGGTCCATCCACAGCAATACACCAGCGTTTGCCTAATTAAAGTTTGTGCCAGTCCATAGACAATGAGAGAATATGGCTTTCCATATGTATATAGTAAAATATATTACTATAGATTTTATATACTTTATAAGTATTTTATATTTCTCTGCCTTCTGAGAAGGTTATAATTTGTAATAAATGCATATAATGAGCGTATTTATTTTTATACTTCTTGTCTAATGTGATCTTCTAAGTTATCACTTTTTTAAAAGGACATATAACAAGGATAGAGTATTTATACAGTATAATATGTTACTAGAGGTAATAAATGAACCCTATAAATTTTGGAAGTGGAGCGTCTTTATTTCACTGTAATAAAACTAGTCTATCGGGCAGAAAGAGCTTGGTCTCTAAGGCAATGGTTTGAAAAAAAAAGAAAAAGCTCTGCCACATTTTTTGAAAGTTCTGGTAGCTAAGCTTCTAATCGAGCGTCTTAGCTAAGGGGTTTGGAAAACTACGCGTAATGTCATATACTGCATTACAGGGGTAATTTTGTACTTTAGTACCTAACCACTAACAGGGTGCTCAGCACTGTTGTTTCATCTTTAAGAAAGTCAGACTACAACTAGGGAGATGCCATTGACTTTAATAAGGGCTTAGGCAGGGGGTATATCTGTCAGCGGTGTTTATAGCCAAGTAAGTATGTACACAAGTAGCAGTTTTACCTGCTCCGCTTAACCTTAACCATACTGGGAAACATGCATTTAAAATTCAAAACCGTTAACTCGCAGTCAGAGGTTTCCCTTCACAGATTTCTGGAGGGCCTCATGACCATGCTTTTCTAATTAGAAGTACTGTATGAATGAGCTGTTCTAATGCTGTTAGTAACACGTTTTGTAATGCTGAAATCCATGCTGAGCATCAAGAAGCTGATTTTTGCTCCCTCATTTCTGATCTCATGACCACTAAAGTCAAGGGAAAATCTTCTGTTGAATTCGCTAGGATTTTTGCCATGGAATTTGAGACAACAGTCATACGTGAACATTCTTGGCCTTGTGTCATGCAAAAATCTATTACAACTCCCTTTGCCAGTGTTTGGACTGTCTTGCAGAAATAGTTCCCACTTTATTCAGTGGATAAAATGCTGGCCCTTTTAAAGCATCTAGAAAAATTTTCATCGTGTCACACTTCATTTGAGTGTTACTTCGACACGCAAAAGTACTAGGGAATGGTTTACTTCTAATGTTATTTAGAAGAGAACCAATCTTTTTTTTTTTTTCCTTCCGTAAGTATTTATGAATGAGTACCTTTTTTTTTTTTTTAATGTATCTATTTTGCTATAGCAGGTCAAAAGTCAGAAATATATACATTTGAAAAAGAAAGAAAACATGTTTTCATTTTCTGCTGCTGCTTTTTTCCCTATAACCTTTGTACCTTAGTGTGTGTACCTTAGTGTACCTTTTTTGATGTTGCCTGAAACACCCTCAGTTTAGCGGCCCAAAGAGCTAGTGCTGAAGTTCCTATAAAATTGGTGAGGTCTCCCAGCTTCTAGATAATGCTGACGACCCAAGTTTGCGTTCATCTGCAGAAATGGTCAACTTAGGGCTAAGAAAATGGAGGAAACAACTTCTCCCAGACCTCCTCAATCATTTAAAGCCAGCCCAGGGTGCTAACATAACCTCAGTTCTTCCAGCAGCATTTGAGGAGGCTCTTGGGAGAAGAAAATTATATTTCACAGGCACCAACCTCCACGCTGAAGGAAACTTGGATCAAATTAAATAGCACAAATTCTTTTTTTTTTAACAAGAAGCGTGAAGTGTTTTGTATTTCCAAAATGCCTTGGCCCAAATTACCTAGATTATATCTGTCAGCCCTGTAATTAACTAGACTGAAGGGAGAAGTAAGAGGTTATGATGGAAGGTAAACTCATTTGGTATGTTAGAATTAAATTAAAAAAATAAAAAGCAACTTTTCACGCTCTTTGAAATGATTGCATAATAAAAGGAGTGTCATACTAGTAAGTAGTTGCGGTGTAATTATAGCCTGTTTTCTGTGATGGTGTTTGTTTCTCTAAACAGAGCAGCAAAGGCAACTCATTCCCCAAATCAGCAGTTCATTTGGCCAAGACTGCGTTTCTCAGTAGAAGTTTACTGGCTACATATTTTTCTTTAAACAGTTTATGAATTCTCAGCAGTCATATCTGTTACACAGAAATACGGTTCTTGAAATTATAGCCTGTTTCTGATAGATGCAGGTTATAGAGAACATGCTCCAAGTAATGCATTAATTGCACAAGGCAATCTAAAAACTGCCCCTTCCAAAAAGCAATTTAATTATAACCGAGTTTGACATCAAAGCGGGGTTGCTCTGGGTGACCCAGCAAATGGAAACCTTCAAAAACAGTGGTATGTAGCTGGGGTGCTTAGCAGTCGACACCACATGCCAATTAAGCATCTACCCTGGCACAAAAAATCTGGCAATGTATAGTTTTTATTACCAAGGGCTGGTTTGTTAAATGCCTTTTTCCGTGAATGCTCCTTGTTTTGAGCAGCAATTGCAGAATGTTATTATGGGGCCACAAAGAAACATTTGAAAGTAGAAATGGCCCTTGAGGCTTCTGCCAGGCCATAGGCGAACATAAGCGCTGGTGCGTTATGCCAGCCACGGTGCTTCTTGCTGCCGCCTGCTCACCCCAAAAACAAAAAAGAAACAGAAGACTTTTTTTTAACCAGGTTTTCTTAACTGCTCACCCTGACACGTTGAGAGTGAGCTTTCCAGTGTTTCAGCTCAGGAAAATGTCACACTGGTTTTGAGATAAATGTCCTTTGTCTTGGTTTCCCTTTCAAGGTCACGCAAGGCAAACACAGTACAGGCCATTTCAGGCACTGCGAGCAGCAGAAAGTCTTTAGTGCCCTTCCAGAACTTGGGCACTAGGACTGAAATCTGGTGGATCCTCAGATCTCACTTTTACAGAATCCTAGAATCATTATGGTTGGAAAAGACCTTCAAGATCATCGAGTTCAACTGTAAACCCTTCAACACTGTGCCTGCTAAACCATGTCCTAAGCGCCTTACCTACACATTTCTTGAACATTGCCAGGGATCGTTACTCCACCGCTTCCCTGGACTACTCTTTCCATGTAGAAATTCTTCCTAATACCTAGCCTGAACCTCCCCTGGCACGACTTGAGGCCACTTCCTTTTGTCCTATCAACAGTTGTTTTTAAAATAGTATCTAAATCTGTAATTAACTGGGAGTTGAAAAAGCAATGTATCTACATGAGAGAAATATCTTTCCAGCTAATTAGGACATAAAGTTGTAGTATCCATACTGGTTAAATACTGTAAACAGTGCTACTACAAAATTTGGATTAACCGATTTCCTGATTTCCAGGAGGAAAAAACTGTCTGTCATAGAACTTTTAAGCTGCTATGTTTACCTCTTTTTAATCCAAACATTGCTGTGAAAACAAAAAATATTGGTGTTGTCCAAGTAACTATTTTACCACTAACTGTAATACCTATGGTTTCAGAGCAAAATATTAGAGGTTGGTTTTGTACAACCTTTTGAAGAAAAAAAATAATTGTATATATGTGGTATGGAAAAAGCTTAAAATTGCCTCAAGCTTCTATATCCTTTAGCAGCTGATATCTGCATTTTAGAGTTGTCAATTGACTGATTGCATTTTGACCAGTATCTTCAATGCTGGGGCATTGACTTAGAGTATTAAGTTCCCCAGAGCGTGCTGCGCCTTCAAGTTGCCAAATGCTTGTGTATCTGTCTTTCACCTTCTGAAATGCAGCTCCTTGCAGAGCTTGTAATGTGGCAACTGGATTCATTCAGCTAACAGCAGCTTTCATTCATTGCAACGTCTCCAAGAACTGTACGTGTTTCAGTAAAAGTCTGGAACATTTTGTGCAGAAAAACAAGCAGGACTTTTGCTTTTATCATTGTCTCGTTGCAAGCATGTAAACAGATACAGGATAATATTAATCGATTTGC